GAATTTCTTAGAAGAGACTATTTCAAAGGAATTTAAACTCTAATATCTCAAATTTCTCTTTCAGCTAAAACAATGTTTGAATTGGCATATTACTAAAGTTATTTTGAGTGGTTATTTATGGCCTCACATCCTCACTTGAAATGATGTGCAAAGAAGTGTCATTTCACAATTCCACAATAGAAACATGTCATTACAATGGATGAAGGGGAGAGATAAACTCTCAAACAGACCTTCTAGCCATTGGTGGACCATTCGCAGGCACCTGTTTTGTCCTTCTTCCAAAAGCTATTAAAGCCTTTTCTACGTCCTTATGATTTTCAATGATATCAGATTTGCTTTTTCTTTTCCTCTTATCTCTCTGTAGATCTTTGTTCAATTCTCACAGCCACATCTTTGGCAATTTATCTTGAAGCGGTGACTGTCTGTCTATCTCTTGTTCTTGCTGCACATAAACTTACTAAACTTCCTATTTTTGACTCTGGTGGTGGTTTTTTCTTGTGCTTTTGACATTTTAGAGATTGTTTAGTGTCGTTTGAAGGTTGGCATGATCTTTACAGGTGCATTTAGATGTTGTTTATATGAGGGTGCACAGCTATGAAGCGGCTGAGCAACAAACAATTGAATTAAAAATTTTTGAGATGTTCCAAGAAAAGATTCTGTAACTTCTTGAATTCTAACTTACTGCATTTCTTATTCCCTTTATTTCATTTTTCTTAGAAAATTTGAAACCCTCTTCCAAGCAGAGCTTAAAATGTCTTTCAAGAATGGTTAATATGTCATGGAACATATGGCCCCGGGCAAAATTTTGTTTCTGGGGAGTTTTGGAACACATTGTTACTTTAACAAGTTAGACAAAAGATATTAGAGAACTCATCTCTCAGAAGCTTCTTAAATGATAGATTCATTTATATGTAGGAGAAAGCCGTCGTTCTTATGCTTTTTGTTTTTGTAATTATAGGCAATGTGAGAACATGGCTTTGTCATTGATAATCTCTCTTGATTTGTTATTTGTTTTAATTGGTCACTTGACAAATATTAAAAAAGGAAATCCATTTATATCCAGAATTGCCTGAAGTATTTGAAAATTTTTGACCTTTTATTAATCATTTGCAGGAGAAACTGAAGGAAAGAGAGCGAGAGTTGCGGAAAAGGAAAGAGAGAGAAGAACAAGAAATGGAGAGGATGCGACTAAAAGTTCGCAGGAAGGAGGTGGTTGCATCTTTTCAAGCTTTGCTTGTGGAAACAATTAAAGATCCCCGGGTATATACTTTTCTCTAACAATTTATTTCTGGATGATGCAAGACTAAAGAACTATTGTTTTAAATCTATAGTTTCCATAATATGAGGTCTGTTGTAATCTCATTTGCTTTTGTTTCCCTGTTTTATAATTTTTTTTTCTTTAATTTTATATTGCCAGCAATAGAAGATAATAGAAATATAGTTAATTTTGAAGGTTGGATATGCAATAATGTAATCCTTCATGCTGTGTAGTAAGTTCAACTTACTTGTCCTATGTTGATTTTGTCAATTGAATATGTTAGGCTGTAAGCAGTAATTTTCCTAATTGGTTTTTCAATGCAAAAGACAAAGGCTTCAAGAAAAGCCAAAATTGATTTTTTAGAATTACAGGAAATATGGCCTTAATTTGATGTTGAATGCTGCAGAACTTATAAAATTAGAATAAATAACAATAGCCAAGCCCTTCCCAGTATATGGTCATGTTTTTATCATGTCATTGCTAAACTAGAATAATACCCAGTTTGAATAGGTTTCATTAGTTTATGCATTTTTATTATTTTTTCATGATAACATAGATGAGGCTCCCATCTATAATGCTGTCAGATGTAACTAATATTCCACCTTTTTGCTTTGAAGATTATGTTTTAAGCTTCTAATAGGTTTGAGACAAATCTTCTTGAATGCTTGGTGTTTGCTGGCTTATTTGGAATTTGTCAAATTGTTCACTTCTTGCTTCTATTAAACTTTCTAGGCATCTTGGACGGAATCAAAGCCTAAGTTGGAAAAGGATCCTCAGGGACGTGCAGTGAATCCTGATTTGGATCCATCTGATATGGAGAAGCTCTTCCGCGAACACATAAAGATGCTTTTTGAGGTAATTTTGCAACTACAATTCGCGATGAATTAGAAGACTAATGCAGTACTGCTACTCCCATTTACAGTTACTGCTAAATAATAGCTCTGTTATGTTAGCTCTTGTGGCCAAAGTAGCATCATGTTGATTAGCTCTTTTCAAATATGCATTTTCCTAGGATTGGCATGTGTCCTATGATGATATATAGGTGTTATCTTAGTATGCGTGGCAAAGATGGATCTTTAAAAGAATGATGTTTCAAAGAAGCTTCCTACTAAATGTAGTTGATACATAGACTTCAGGTCTTTTTTTTTTGGTGTATTATGATCGTGATCTATTTTCATTGTCTTTTGGACTTTTGGTCCAAACGGTTATGTTGGTTATTTGGTGGTTTGGTGAGAATAACCACCACCTTTGGTGCATGGTGGCCGCCAAGTTGAGGGTTGCTTGTTTCCATATTAGACATGCATAAACCCACCAATATCTCACATACCAAAGTGGGTTATTAGTGTCTGTTAATAATTTTTGTGTCATCTAAGTTTGGTGAAATTTTATTATGATATCACACTTCAAAAGTTCTGAAAATTTACATTTCCCTCTTAAGTTGCCCAAAAAGACACATTTATCCCTTACAATGTGTATGGTGGCGTTTATTGATTTATTTATTTTTCAAATTACATCTCAAGTGGGAAAGCATATGTAACAACAAAGAAGCCTCATCCTGTCATTTTGGGTTGGCTTTATGGATTATGTTGCACCATTCTTCTTTATTCAAGACCTTATATGCAGTAAACTTAGTAAAACCAAGGTCTTTTTTTATAGTTTCTACAAATGTTTTATGTCTGAGAATGGAAATAGAAAATGGTTTTAAAAACCAACTTCATTCTAAACCTAAGTAAGATTTTATGTCATTGATATGGCACTCTTTCGTCTCTTTTTTTGGAACCTGATATGAACTGAAGTTGCTGTAGAATATCAACCTTTTACTTGATTAGTTTTTGAGATCTTCTGGGTATAATTTAAAGAGCACAATATCTATTGTCTACTTTTATTGTTGGACAAACAATTTGGGACATCAGAAAATAGAAAGTTTGTCTAATTTTTAGAGATAGGGTGTATTCCCTGTTTGCTTTTTGTGCATCTTTATATATTCTAGTCAACAGTGAGAACAAGTGGTTGCATGTGCTGTGGATCCTTTTTGAATTTTTTTGATTCCATCAAAAGAGGTTGAGGTATGAGTTAGCACTCTTTGCACAAGTTCAACACGATCAGTGCTTTTAACTCTATTTCCTTTTAATACAAGCAGAATCGAAAACATGTAGGAATAAAATGAAGATCTCATGGGTTAAAAGAGAAGTTCTGTATATCTTTTAGTTTGGATTTGAGATCTAGGTTTATATCGCAATTGCTCTGCTTTCATGAAATAACTCCTAATTTCAATTACTTCCCTTCCCATGTAATTATCCCTTAAAAAGTTACTAGGTGTCATACCTTTTTGCTCTAATTTCTTTGAGTCGATCTCCCAATTTAAAGCTCTTAGTTATTGAAGTTTGATAATTGCATTAGCCAATTATCAGCAAGGGGAGAGATTCGTTGTTTAAGTCTTAAAACACTACAAGTGTTCTGTTTGTTTTTACTAATAGAAGAAATGAAGTGATTTGAGTTAAAATCAGTCAACTCACAAGCATTCTGTTTGTTTACTAGTTGAAGAAATGAAAGGATGCCATTTTAACCGCAGCCCATCTGAAGTATGGCCGCCATACTGCATTATTTTGACTCTTTTGTAACTTTTTAAGTGATTTATGCATTATATTTTGAGGGCAACAACCATGAATATGAATGTTTAAATAATCATCTGACATATATAACCCTTCTATTTGGCCTTTCTAGAGATGTGCAAATGACTTCAGAGCTCTGTTAGCTGAAGTCATAACTCAAGATGCAGCTGCTCAACAGACAGAAGATGGGAAAACAGTCCTCAATTCATGGTCGACAGCTAAACGTCTTCTAAAGCCTGATCCCAGGTATAACAAGACGCCGAGAAAAGAGAGGGAAGCTTTGTGGCGCCGATATGCTGAGGATATGCTGAAGGATATGCTGAAGAAGCAGAAGTCTGCATTAGATCAAGAGGAAGAGAAACATTCAGATGCAAAAGCCCGAAGCTCCGGTGATTTGGGAAGATTTTCATCTGGTTCAAGGAAAACTCATGAACGAAGATAGCTTGTTTGCTTGGCAGACTAGGCATTTGTAGCATTTACTGATTTTTGTTTTTCATATAAGATTTAGGCTCTCTGATTTATTTGGTTTTCCCCGTACTATTTTTGGAAGCAGGAACAGGATGGCCAAAACGAAAAAAAAAAAAGTATTCACTGCTGTATTTTATCAGATAATCAACCCATTGATTTCTAATCTTGTGCACCATGGCAGACCATTTTAATAACCAGAATTTGTTTGAGATCCATGAGGTAGCTTCTGTGATGATTTGGGGTTATGTATATAAATTAGATCAACTTATTCTTTGAAAATTCCCGTCTCGGCACTTGACATGGCTTACCAAAAGGAAAAGTGTTTTATCCTTCTTATGGACTTGAAACTGGTTTCGGCACTTGGCATGCCTTTACCAAAAGGAAAAGTATGTAAATTTAATTTAATTAATTGATAATCCATGTATTTAACTCAAGTTAAGACCAAAACCTTTATCAGCAATAATCTACGAGAAAATTCAATTCGTGGCTGATTTATGCACATCCATTGGAAGCGATTTCTTTTTTTTTTTTTTTGAGCTGATCAGAAGGATCTTAAGATCCAACATCCAAGTAAATACAATGATAAAGATAATATTTTGGAGCATAATCAACGGATCATCGAGCTTGAAGGTAAAGGAAAAGAGAGCAAGTTGCAAAGAATGAGAATATGAAGAGGATACAATCTCCATCTTGATCATATGAATATAAATTTGCATTTGCTGCAAACAAAGAATTAGCTTACATGACTATGAACTCTCTAACTACATGGAAAGAATACAAGGTCCTGGGATACCGGATTCGATGCGGCAATATTTGCCCTAACCGTATGCAAACAGGTGCAAAAAGTTCCCCTCCCTAATAAACTGTGGCAGGAGAATCAAGAACAAAATTCCTACAATCTCAGAATAACATGAACAAGAAGGTACGCAGAAGTTTTTACCACAGGTTCTATAACATGCATGCAGTCATACACCTTCGTATTCAAAACATCATTTCATTCTTCTTTCTTCTTCCTTTTTTGTTTTGATGGAAGAGGGAGGGCGAAGGATGGTGGTTGTGGTTTCGGATTTGCTTCTATGACAGAAATAGTGCCTCCAAATAATCATCAATGTAAGCTAAGCATGGCCAGTGATCAGTTCTGATCCGAACTAAAGTTGAAGCATCACTTACTTCCATTTGGAGCAGGAGGTGGAACATAGGGGGAAGGAATATCAATATATGAATGCAACCTATACTTCTTTTGCTGATGTTTAACTGACTTTCACTCTCGTCTTCATTTCCAATAAAAGTAAGTCGGAGGGGCATACTATCTAATTCAGTAACTGAGGTTGTGGCATCAGGTAAAAGACCCAAGGCGTCATCTTTCCAGACAACATCCTTGATAATTCCTCTATCCTTTACCATATTAACGAGATGCTCACCACTCACACTAACAACGAACGCTGCCAGATAATGTTCAGTGGCACGAATTAAAGAGTCTGCAGTAACCTCAAGCAGCTTCACAGATCGGGTTCCATTGACTGCTGCAACCCCCTTGCCTCCCTTCAAGGGGAAAGCCTCCCGCCCAGTGTTGGAAGTATTACCACATGCATCCCACAAAGCATTGAACAAGTCTGAGTAATAATCATGTAATACTTCTTCTGAGATGTTTGATGGGGAAATAGCTTTCAGAAACAAGTCCTCTATGCCCACAGTAATACTCTGCAGCTGACCAGAGATAATCTGACCATCTTCCCCGTTTGTTTCAATGGAAACATCAACCAGACCAGGTGTTGGCTCACGTGGTTCCAGTTCAATTATCACTGGAGCTTTATAGATTTCTTCTTCAGCAGTACCATTGTGTGTAGCAACAATGTCTAGCAAAGCAGTTTCACCAGGAATATAATCACTCACGGGAGGTTGACCAAGAAGAAATGGTATATGACATGATGGAATAGACCCGTATGGTGCTGGTGATGAAAATTTCAACACGGTTGCATATATGGCAGGGAGGGCATCTACTCCATGTAACCCACTTTTCGAGGACTCACCTCCCCATACATGATTGAAAGGTTCAGAATCAAATCTCAAACTGCATGGAATTTTAACCTTAAGCCCTGGCATATGTCTAAAATCAGGAACACACGAGAAATGTCTCCTTAATATCCCTAAAATCTCTGAAACTTTTGAATCCATCACAAATAGCGGAACCTGTGGTTTATTTACTCTCTCATCTTCCGATATAGACTGAAATTGAATATTGGCATCAAGCTCTCTTTCATCTATTAAGGCTTCAGTATCCTTGATGCCACCAGAAAATTCCAATTTGTTACTCCCAACACCTAAAGGTAATAAAGACAATGACCAAGACTGTTTGACAAGTAGTGGTATCATCCGCTCAAGATGGATATAGGATGAGATATTCCTAGATTTCTTGAGATCTTGATAATGTCGAGGAGATGGCACGCTGAAGAATGATCCGGAATGAGACGAGGGGGAAATACCAAGGAGTTGCTCTCCAAGGTTCAGCATGCCTCTAAGCTTCACTCCAGGGACACAAATCAGCATCCTCAAGTAGATCCTATAACATGACATAACAGAAAATAATCAATAACTCTTCTTGAGATTCCTTATTTTTTAGACCCTTTATTCCTGTTGGGTTGGCAAGAAACTGCAAATAATGTTAAGAGGAACGGAAAAGTTAAAAGGAAAAACAAAGCCATTTCCTTCATCATACCTTGCATGGTCACGGACCTCCAAATCAGGGAAGTAAAGGCAGGTAAATGCAAGGAGACGAGATAAACAAAGGAATAATCTAGAGCTCTGATGGTGAGTCAGCATGGTTCTGCAAATGCCAAGGACCTTACTACCCTGAGACCAAGATTTCCCGCCAGTGTCTGGGCCATGTTTCTCAACAAGGAAAGCCATGAACTTGGCTAGCAGCTCTAGCAACCTACGAGGAGGTATTGTTTGATTTTCGGCAATTCTGTTAAATATTAGGAAGTAAGAAACTAGTCTATAATCAATTTTGACTCTTGGATGCAGATTCTCATCGATTGTTTGAAGCAGGCGCTCTCCCAACCAATGATGCTTTTGGCAGGCTAACAAACGGTCAACAAAAGCTACAATGACTGGGACCAATCTCTGAAACTCCAGTATCATGTCAACCAGCATCCCCTTAACAAAAGAAATTACAAATATCAACATAGGAGTTTTTTTTTTTTTTTTTTTGGTAGTTAGGACTTAGGAGCAGATAAAACATAAACTTCAAAATCTCTAGTTCAGCATCAACTTTTGGTGTGCCCTGTCTAACATGCCATCATAAACAATTATACAATCTACAGGATAATCTGTTTCAGAGAAAAAAATAAGGGTTAATGGATGCTCAGTGTGATAGATGCAAACTAGACTTGAAAAGGCATATTTTGCTGACCTAGACGAAAATCTGGTTCCAGTGAACAGTTACATAAATACACAGACAAAGAGAGAGAAAGATAGAGATCTGATTGTCAATTTGCAGTAGAAAACAGACAAGCGCTCTGAAAAAATGTACTGAACAAAACTCGGTTTTAGGCTGACCAATTAGTCATTGTTTGCATCATTCCACTCAACATCCATAGCATTTCGCAATAACTTCTATTCAAGAAAACCATGCAATGACTGTCCAAGTACACACCAACTCAAACCAGCATAAATTTAGATTTTCACTTAAAGGTCTAAGTTGTAATTTTCATTTTCATAAAGTACCAATTAATTCAACACTTAGGCAGGAAAAGGATAAGAAGAATGTTGCCTTTGTTATGATAAAAAAAGCAGAACTTTTAGAAGTAGGAGGAAGGCTAAACGAGGAAGATAATAAGAGAAAACAAAATACCTTCAAATGATTGAAGATGGCAGATCCCATGAGTGCAGTAGTGGTGGAAGGATCAGAATCAGAATGAGATGATGCACCTATCAAAAACTTATGTAAGGTGCGGAAGGCCACTGCAGTTTCTGTGCTCCAAGGAGGCAACCATTTGAAAGCTGACACAGATACTAGACCATCTTGAAACAGCTTCACAACTGAATTCCCACCCCCAACAATCGTATCTGAAACGCTCTGAGGCTTCAATATGCCAACACAAATGGAACAAAAAGCAAGTAAATCTAGCTTTAGTGCTTTCAACGAAAGTGGATCAAACACACTCGGATATAACATGAAACCCGTCTCTACAATCGACTTCTTCTCCACATTTCCTCCATTCACCATCAATCTATTAAAAAAACCTATCAACCAATGCACCGAAAGCAACCGAAACACCAAATAATGCTGCATTTCCAAGGAAACCAACAAAAGTCTTCTTACAATCTCTCTCTCCTGCTCATTAAATGCCTCCGAAAAATGCGAATGCATAATCAAAACAACATGGCACAATACAGGATCAAACGAATAAATCATCCCGAAAAACTGAACTTTCAGCATAGACGGCTGCAAATCTAAAGCTACTGCTAATGGCATTACCATAGCCATAAAAACCATCATCCCACAAGGAGTTAAAACCTGCGGCCATTCCAATAAAAATGCCATGGCTCTTCTCAATTCTTTATAATTCAACCCTAAGCCTATCCCTAACCCTTCTTTTTCAGATCCTAAAATCCATTGCGGTAAATTAAAAGGAATTAAAGGAACAGAAGTATTCAAAATAGAAATACTCAACTTTTGATTCACAATACTATGAATTACTGTTGTAAATAACAAAATGTAACTCTGCGAAGCGTGAGTTCGCTCGCTTTGGCATAAACTCCATAAATGACCAGCAATATCGGAAAGTAAACAAGGATAAGATTTTTCTAATTCGCGTAAACACTCACAGGCAATGGCACGCGCCTGTCGGTCCGGTCCATGGTTCGGCCGATTTATAACAGCCAGTAAAAGTTCGACCACGGCTTCCGTTAACCGAACCTCGACGGTTTCGACGGAATTCGTTGAGATCATAATCGATGTCGACGAAACCATCATTTGTTCTTTCAAAGCATAGGTGACGTGGACGCCGTCGATTGGGGATTGAACAATGGAGCGGAGGGTTTCGATCAGGCGGTCCAAAAGGAGGGAGAGGGAATTTGAGGGGAATAAGAGGTGGGAAAATTCGTCGAGGAAGATTATGAGGGGGATTTTGAAAGGGAATTCCTTTTTGATGATCGCTGAAAGGGCGAGTTCGGCGAGGGATGGGGAAAGCGAACTCCATTTCTCGCGACGAGCACCGCCTTGTTGGAAATCTTCCACTAAGGATTCCCAATCTTGAGCTGAAACTGGTTTTGGAGATGGCTTTTCAGCCATTTCGGAAAATATTTTGAAATCGGGATTGGGTTTCAGTTGAAAATTTTGGGAAATTGAAATTCCATTGGCATTGTTCTATTTTACCGATCAAAGATGAAATTCTGGCGAAATATAAAAGAGAAATTTGCAAGGGAGACAGCGAGAGTAGGCGCTCAAGGAAGAAGAGTTCAGTTGACGCCCGCAAAGCGAATGCTACTCGATAAATCGGATCGGAGGCCCACCGCCAACCCGGCTTGAGTGATTATTAATGGGCTTGAAGCCCATTAATTTGGAACATTGGCTCGTTATTGTTGGTTTTTTTTTTTTAAATTTCTAACCTATCTTTAACCTTCCATTTGGGCACAAAGAAGAGATTTTAGGACAAACTTTTTTAACCTGTAATTTTTAAATATTAATTTTAATAACATATCAATTAATTTAAAAATCAATCGATTTTTTAAAGATTATTATTATGTGAAAAATAATAGATTTTTTAATTTCATAAATGAATTTAAGTGATTAAATTTGATAAGTGTTTATTTAATAATTATTTTTAATTTAATATTTTTAAATTATAATTTTAAAAATATGTGATAATTTTGCAAATTCATTTTGTAAAATTTAAAATTTTTATTTTTATTATATAAAAAATATATTTTATATATAGTGACACACAATCAAATGTATCCGTACCAAAATCTTAGATCAATATACAAAAATTTTAGATGGTGAATCCTCAATATGATTAAGAATTAATCCTATAGCTTCTTTTCTTTTTTAAAGGGATTGACACATTAACTTGTGGTAATTTTTAAAACTTATATTTTAAAATAATATATTTAGTTATAATACTATAATATTATAATCTCAATTTCAATTTCCAACGCCAAATTATACCAATGACAGCAATAAATCTTTGAAAAAAATAAGAGAACTATTAGGATATCAGGGACAAACACCAAGCTTTGGCAAAACAATGATTATGCTGTTGTAATTTTTTTTTTTATTATTTCGGGGAAGACAATCTTTACAAAAAATAAAAAAATAAAAGAAGATTTTGACTCGAAATCAAGGACTTTTATATGTTTATAAAACTTCCCTTAGATCAAGAGATGAAGGAGCTCTTTATTGGCACAAACGTAAGCAAACTTATAATAGGACTATAACCCGGTGGCTCACAAAACATTGTCCCATACTCTGAGGAGAGGACCAAAGACAACCGAAGAAAATGCAGACAGTATCCATGGCAATGTCCATAAAAAAACATTGAACTTTCACTGTAACATTCCTCTCACACAGCCATCTATTGGACTCCGCCAGCGCGGGATCGAGCAACTTGCTGCCTTTCATTTTTTTTTTTTTAAATCATTCATGTCCGTCTTGATCACAAGCAATGCTTTTTGATTTAGAATACGTGTGCGCTTCCTTTCTTTTAATTTGAATAAAATAATAAATATGGATGTCAATTCGAGAAATTATTAAGTAAAAATTAGGCACCATAATTAATTTCCAAATATTCTAAGTATCAATTAATTAAATTCATATAAAAAATACACCAATAGTTAGGCAAATTTGACATAAACCGGTGGCCGTCCAATAAGATAAGAAGGTCCATTAACAAAGTGGAAGCTGTTGTTGTCCTATATGCACAACATGGCTTTGCCTTTTTTTTTTTTTATAACTTTTTCTGATCAATAATCAAAGGCAAGGGTTAATACTAGGCGTGTGACAATGGCGCGCATGAGTGTTCCACTAACTAACTTTATTAGTTAGTATTTATAGTTATTTATACATTGTTGAAAATTAGAAAAGATGAAAAAGTCGATACCTTTTGAGAATTACATAAAATAATAATAATGATTATCTTATGATGATAATTAAAAAAATAATTTAATAAATAATTAATTAAAAGTCTGCATGATTTAATTAGTAAAGTGAAAAGCTATTTGTGGGTATATTTGTTTATTTTACATATAGGTATAATTATCATATCATCAGTTCATACACATTAAAAGATATATAAAAGAGAATCGGATCATATCATATACATTATTCTTAATTTTATTCTCTCTTTGCTTTTTTTCTGATCATCTCCTTCTATCATTTACTTCTTCGCTTCTTATACATTTAACTAATATGAGTATCAGAGCACGTTTCCAAGTATTACCTTTAGCAATTGTATTTTTTGTGATAGATCTGATATGATCTCTCTCAGCTTTCATTCCATATTTCTCTTATTAAGATAAAAAAAAAAATGCATCAGCAATATATAAATATATATATTACTTAGAGAAACATAAGAAAACAAATTAAACAATAAATAATTCATCTTTGTTGTTGACCTGCTTTAGGTTAAGAAGGTTAGTCACGAGTCACGACCTTAATAATTAATTTTACTTGGTGTATGATTTCTCTACAATTTTTTAAGCAAAATGTCCAATTGCACTAGAAAGTGTACGTGGTCCCTCTAGATATGTGGGAACGTAAGAAATGACGACTATGGAATTCTCTAAAACAAAACTCTCTCATGTATATACTTAATTGGCACCGTCCGTTTATATTGCATTTTTGCCTGATTTTGGATGAGCACTTGCGTGCTTAATTGTACAAGAGTTTCTATAAGACAAACAAAGTACTGTAAAATGGTTTTATGAGGGTATTTCAGTAAAATCCTTCCATTGGATCGGTCGGTTGAATTAAGAAGCGGATCCTTTATTTGTTTAAGGAACGGTTCAATCGGTCATTAAAATATTAATTAAATCTTAAACTTATTTTAATATTTAATTTTTTTAGTTTGAAATTTTTTAATATTTGATAATTATTTATGAGCTCCGATTATTTTAGAGTCAAACTAAATAATATTTAATTTTTTATTTATAAAATTTGAAATCAAAACCTTAATTAAAAAATTTAAATTTTTTATTACTCAATCAATAGACGTTATTATTTTAATATTTAATTTGAATCTTAAAAGAAATACTAAATGAGATTTGTAATCCGAAATGGTACTATATTAAATAATAAAGAATGGATTAAGTCAAAACAGAGAGGAGAGGCTGCGCTTGCATTCCTACCAGTGTATGGATGACAAATGTAGGCTTTAACAATTTAGGGGCAAATCCCTGCATAAATAAAAAGGTAGTGGTGATTTATTTGTAATTATTAATTACTTCTAATCTTCCCTTACTCACATGATTAAGCATTATTGGAGGGTAATTAATTGTCTTCTTTTACATAATTGTAGAGGTTTCCTCAAGTTTTGTTGGGTTTAATTATTTTCTAGAGCACATTTTCTCGCATTGATTTGATATATTTTAAACAATGATAAATTATCATTTTGCAACGATGTTAAATACTGGTAAAATAATTTTTCTAGGAGAGTCCTCATTAGCATCAATCAAGTCCAGATTAACAAGAAAGAAGGCTTTTTTTTTATCAATTTTATTATTTATTGTTAACAATTAATAAAAAAAATTAATTAATATATATATTATAATTGTAAATTATAATAAACTTCTTTAAGTTAAAAGTATGAGATCTTCTATTTAAAAAAGAGTAAATAAAAATTAATTAGATTTAAAAATAATAATTAGGATCTTGATAGAGTTCAATAAAAAGATTAACAACTTGTACATAATTAATTAAAAAATAGTATCAATGAACAATGAAATATTTTATAATTTTTAATAAAAACACCTTATTTAATTTACTAAAGTATAAAAATTATTCAAATTATTTTAAATTTCGTATTACTTTATCTATATAATAACTTCTTTCACTCTGTCAATTTAGATTTTTTATTTTAATTGTTATTTGATCATGCTTAATGAAAATTAACTCTCGTATTTTATTTAAGAAAATTTATCTAAAATTTGTATAATTTTTTAATCAAATTAGTTTTATCCTTCGCGTGACAGATAGGAAACTATGGGCAGTATATGTATTGACCATATGGTAAGAAAGTCAACTAATTTTTTAGAGGAAGAAAAAGAAGGCTCTTTGGCATTATTATTAGACCAAAAGTTGACGGCCATTCTGGTTGGTGGTCATATTGCCAATAATTATAATACGGCTAAATGACAAAAGATAAGCACCATGCTTTCAAAGCAGAAACCATAATATGTGCATATAATGCAATCATTTTTCATCTAGAAATCCCACCAATTTTTGCTGACCAGAAAAATAAAAAAAGAAAAAAAATTTCAGTTTAAAAATCTCACTAGCATCCTTTTAAACATTTTCACCGTCACACGAAAATGTGAAATTAATTGTACTTATCAAGATGTTGTATGAAATTAATTATACTTATCAAGATGTTATATGAAATTAATTATTTCCGGGAAAGCGACCACTTGAGAGAGTTTAATTTGGAGTTTAATTATATGGAGTTTACATTTATAAATGATAAATTTTTATTTTGATTGAACAATTGTAATATTATAGTAAAAAAAATTGTAAGTAATATGCTTAAAAAAATATAATAAAAATAGAAAGGATTGCTACAAGCAAAAGTAAAATGACTTGGCCAGTTGGCCCCGTCCCCTTAACCTTTTATCTTGTATTTCTTATTTCTTGACATATAATGGCATAATTTGAGTCAAATATTATATAATGCATACATACTTTTTTTTATTTGTGAATAAAATTTAATTAGGATAAATAATATACAAGTGACATTTCTTATAACTTATGTGAACGACTCTCCCCTGTGGGCTTCATAAGCTTGGTTTTGTCTTGAACTTTTAGATTATGGAAGTATTGGGCCTAACAAGTTTAGTATAACATTTTAATCTTTTTATAGTTAGTTAGTGATTAATTGATTTCTTAATTTATAAGTACATAAATAAATTTGTTTAAACTAGTATTAGAAAATGATGCAGAACAAAATTTAAAAATATAATAACATTTTATATTTTATTATAAAGTATAATAAAATACTTTAACACGGGAAGGAAAGGAGAAAGAAATGAGAGAGATCAGGGGTAAATACAGTGTTTAAATTAGGTAGGCGAAAAAGGCAAAGTTCTTGATGGCACGTATCGATCAGTAATATAATAATTGGCCACGAACGTAGTGGAAAAACTCACGTTGCATTGTTTATTGTCTCCCCATACTGTTGATCTTACCTTATAAAGGCCCCCCCACCCCTCACTACCTACGGATACATATCGTCCTCAAATTCTCCAACTCCTACTCCCACCCAAAGCAAAGAAAAAGAAAAAGAGAAGCAGACACCTCCACTACTAGCTAGCTAGATTGGCTAGAGATATGGCTGAGGAATGCACTGCTACTTATCCCACACCGCACAGTTGTTGGGATCATCTCCACCCTGCAAATTCTCTTTCTTCGTGGACTAGAAGTACTACTAACAGTACTACTTCTTGGCACCATCATCTTCACCATCATCATCACCACCTTCAAAACCCTAATTCCAACTGTGCTCCTAACTGTGATCAGGATGATGTACTTTCAATCTCTACTTCCTTGACTAATGCTTCCAATCATTCAGGGTTAACTGTTGAGTCGTCCGGTAGTGGCCGCCAGCTTGGTAATCAACCAGTTGTTCCTCCTCCGACGTCCAATGACTTGATTGGTGAACATGCTTCGGATAGTCATATTTGGAGCCATGTTTTATCGTAAGTAATTTTGTTTTAATTGTTGCAACTTGCACCATATGGACATATGGAAATAAAACAGCCAATTTGATATAAGAAGATATTAATCCTCTTTTCATAAGTCATAAAAATTAATAGCATAAATTTTTCTTAAGTCATGATTTTATTTCCTTTCTGTACATGTAATTAAGCGTATGCTTTCCATGCACATTCAACTATATATCTATGTTATATTAGCTTATTCCTTTCTCTGAATATTTACTATGACTTATGAAAAAATTTTCCTTGTAATTTTCTTTTTGGAACGAAGAGAAAATTTTTCTATAATCCAAACATCATGCTACGACTTTGGTGGTTTTCTTTTTTTTTTTTTAACCAAAAAAAGGATTTTTTATTAAGGAAACCAGTCCAAAAACCCGAACAGGATCCCAAAAACAAGATTTGAAGGAGACAAAAACACATAATGATTACAAACGGAAATAACTTACATCTTCAGTTATCAACACCACTATAACCAAGCAACAAACATTTCATCTCGATCCACTCCCATCGTAGCTAATGAGTCGGTAAAAGAATTCGCTTCTTGTTTTTGTTTCTTTTTCTTTTGTTTGTTCTAGGAATGGTTTTTATTTATTTTTTCCTTCCTATATGTATTCAGGTTTTTTGCTTTCTTTTGGATAAATAAGTTTCAATTATCAAGGAAATTTGGAATTGTTAAGTTACTATATAAGACTAATTATCAGCATGTGTTGTCCAAATTAATCGTTGAATATATAGATCTGGGGTTCGATTGTTTTTTGGCAGGAGTGTTGGAAGCAACGGAGACTTGCGCAATGGTCCAGATGTTGGAGAGAACCTATTCGAGGCATTATCGTCCAAAAGCACCTCATCAGCTGGAATCTTTGACCCTGCTTGTGACTACTTGAAGAAAATAGATGGCAATTGGGAATTCACAAATTCCTCAGTTTTCAACAATTTTTTCAAAAATTTAAATGGATACGACGACACGAGTAATGATCATGATCATCAGAGCGCAATTGAAAGTGAAAGGTTTACCAAGTTGTCCAACTTGGTCAGCGACTGGTCTATCGCCCCGCCAGACCCTCAAGTCGATCCCCAGTTGATTAATCCAAAATCATGTGATCATATCTCTTTGACTTCTAATTCAGTGGAAAGCTACTCACAGCAGCAGCCTCCTGCCTTTTGTGGATCAATGGCAACAATCAAAAACCCAGTTTTCATATCATGTTATGGTAATGGTAATCATCATAATGAAGTGAAAATGGAGACTCAAAGTCTTGATATGGAAGCCCCGACTTCCTATTTTCGAAGGGCTTTCAAGGGTACTAATACCAATGGGTATCATCATCATAACAGTCTTATCAACAATTCAGTATCAATATTGGAAGCTGACAACTTTTTTGGAATGTCTCATAATTCTCCATGCACAAGTACCATAACTTATAGCCGATTAACCAAACCTTTGGTTGATATTCATGCATCAAAGCCCAGTTTTAGGCCATTGAATTTATCAGATTGCAAGAAACAAGGGCTCCAAGCTACAAATTCTCTGCAGGTAAGCTAAATCATATCAACCTTAATTGCTATATCATCGTATCAGACATGAATCTTTTCATATTTTTTCCCCCTTTCCTGTGAAAAATTTTATAAATAAAACCATTTAGAATAAACAAATGCAGACAAGAAACAGCAATGGAAGAACACAAGGGATTACAAATGACGGAAAGAAGAAAAGAGGTGAAGAAACGATTGACAGTACTACAGTGTTGAAAAAGCCTAAGAATGACAGTTCCACTGCCCCATCGATAAAGGTATATTAGTCATATACATAATAAAACAGAAAATAATTAGGAAAACTTAGTGATAGTGCTTATAATAACTGGTGAGAAACTTCATTTGATTAATTTAATAGATGCACGCCCCAAAAGTGAAGCTCGGAGACAGGATCACAGCACTTCAACAAATTGTGTCGCCATTTGGAAAGGTAAAGAGTCTAAAGACACCACTAAGAATACGCTTGTTTTCTAGTGAACCTGACGTCGGATTATCTTCTTTTTTGAAATTTGATCCCAATTTGTTGGCTGACTTTCAGACTGATACTGCATCCGTTCTGCTAGAAGCAATTGGATACATCAATTTTCTACATGAGCAAGTGCAGGTGAAAAGTTGCTCAAAAAAATTTTTTTTTTAACCTTGTTTTCTAGTTGCCGATGCTTTAATTTGTTTGCATTCTTTTCAGCTACTGAGTAATCCTTACATGAAGCACAATTCTCATAAGGTAAGCAAGTTTTATATATCAAGCATGATCTTATCATCAAATTTAACATATTTATGTTATGCTCTCATCAATCATCATCTCAATATAGAATTCTGATAAGCTGATGATCACCCTATAGGATCCATGGGGAAGCTTGGATAGGAAAGATCAGAAAGGACATATCAAGGTTGACCTAAGGAGCAGAGGTCTATGTTTAGTTCCAATTTCTTGTACGCCAAAAGTTTACCATGAAAGCACTGGTTCAGATTACTGGACCCCAACATATAGAGGATGCTTGTATAGGTAATCGACAAGGCTCATGCTTTGACATATACGAGATTATTAATTTCAAAAATACAGTAACTTAAATAGACAGCTAGAATTGTTTGTCACTGTTAATTTCCTCTTAAATTTCTTTTTTTTTTTAATTAATAGTTTAACTCAATTGATCATACAATCATATTTTAAATATTAAACCCTCACAATCATTTCTCTTATATTCCTACTACGATTTCCTCTATATAAAAAATACCTTTTCATTACAGTTTGGTGCCACAACCATGTATGAATTAAAGCACTTTTTTACGTAATTATCTTATTATAACTTGATATGTAATTTTAAATATTAATTTTTTAGACAAGTTGCACTTACATATTTGATCCAAGGATAAAATGCATGTAACCCAGCTTAACGAACAAGTTCAAAGCTCGTATACTAAAAATCGTACTATTTCATAAAAAATTAAAAGAGAATACAAATGATATTTCCAATAATTTTTTTACAAAATATATTATTTTTTCCACCACTAAAATAAAGCTTTAAGTATCTTAATGCTAATTCCAGATCTTCAAAATTATTCGAAGATTACGAAAAATGGAAGTTAAATCATGGTTAGATTTTAATGGTGGAAATTATCTTATGGACACTTATAAACCCTAATCTCGAGTTTTAAAGACAAAAATAAATCGGGTCAAGCAAGTGACCTTGACGAGGAGCTCGATCCGTGAGCATCTTTGAATAGATATTCACGTGGGATGCTTATAGTGCACGTGTCAAAACAAGGTGTTAAGTTGTGTTGGGCCCACGTCTGTTTAATGAGTACAGTTTTTCCAAATGAGAGTTTTAATTTGATGGGAGAAACATGAGAGAGTTTTAATATGACTGTTGTTATTTGAGCATGACAGATCCGTGTATCAAGCACCTCTCTTCGGTCAAATAGAAGTGGCTTTGACTAGAATTCAAATTTGGAATCTTTTCTCAAAAAAGGGCAATTGGAATGGAACAAAGAGACTGTATTTCACAAATATGATCAAAATCAAAATACAGTCTCTGTATTTTTATTTTTTATTAAAAAAAAGACTATGTTTCGATTTTGAACATATATGAAATGAGGAACCAGGTTTTATTTTATTCATTTTATTTAAATTACTTTTAAAATGGATAAATTAAAAATATTAAATCTTAATTTGAAAAAAAAAGGAATTTTAAAAAAGAAATTTTAATAAAAAAAGGATATTTGTTAGAGAGAGAGAGAGAGGCATCCAAGGCTCATTATCCAGTAAATGGGAGATATTAAAATTTTTATAATTAATTTTGTCACTTTCTCTGGGCTCCTTGTGCATGTGCATGGCCTCAAAGGTTCATAAATTGATCTTTTTTTTTGTTAAGGGAAAAACTTTAAAAAAAGAGGGAACATGGGATGGGAGGACATTTGTCAGTTTGTTGATCCCTCAAGCAACAAACAGGCAAAATCATAGTAGTAATAATAATGGTGAGGCCTGGCAGTCATTGATAGCTTTGCTTTGCTTTGCTTTTCTTTTCTTTTCCTTTGTGTTTGGAGTATTAGATTGAAAGCAATTCGGTTTCCATGGATTACGAAAGAATCCAAAAGCCTCAGGTACTTACGCTTCTCGCAGTCTCTTTTTTTTTTTTTAACTTTTTTTTGGCTTTCTCTTCTCCCAATGCTTTGTTTCTTTGTTTTTTTGGGAATTAAGAAAGAGGGGATTTCATTTTCGAATTTTCATTTGTTGATCCGTCACTCAAATCCATCTATTTCTTCCTTCATAAAGAAAAATCCTTTGTTTGTTAAAATGTGTAGGGAGGAGGTGGATTTTCGCCTGCCAAGCTAAGGACTATGCTGTTAGGAGTAGAAAACAAAAGAAAACAAGAAGAACAAGAAGTTGAATCTTCAATAGATTTAAGATCTCAACTTTCTCACCTTGATGATGCAGGTTTCTTTTTGTAATTTTTTCTTGATTTATGTACTCTGTTTGTTAAAAATTGTTCTTTTTTTAAGATATTTATATTTGTAAGTAGGAATATTAATGAGAGGAAAAAATAGGAAAAGATGTGGAAAGTGGAGATTATGATTTATTATTAGTTTTTTTTTTTTTTTTTTTTGCAGGGGAAAGTGGTTCTGATAGTTGCAAAGATGTAGATGTGGTTAGTGTGCTTCCAGAATCTTCTACTACCACGACAGCAGATTCAATGGCTGCTGTGCAGAATGGTAGTGAACGTTGGTTAAAGGATCATTCTTTAGGCAAAACTCGAAGCCGGTTCATTGAGGATCATCCTGCTTTAGATTATGATAGTGGACATGACAATATGAGTGTGTTTGAGTTTCAGAAGACTGAACGGGCACCACAAAGAGTTCCTGTTGGGCCATTTTCTAAACCGGCGCCATCTAAATGGGATGATGCTCAGAAATGGATAGCTAGCCCTACTGCGAATCGGCCAAAGACAGGGCAGGGTGGACAAGGGGTAGGATCAAGAAAAGGTGGTAATTTTGGTCATGGCAGACAATCGTCTACCAAGGTGGTTGTTGAAGTTCCAGAACAAAGGATGGTTGCTTTTGAAGAACCGGATACAAAACGGATTGATATGAATCATGCTAAGAAGGATAATGGGTTGCAGAAGTTTGTAAATTGGGAGAGTGATCCATACCCAGTGATGGATTCGTATGGGAAGCCTGTGCTAATGATTGAGAACTCTGTTGCAGAGTCAGCGAGTAAGTATTTATTTTATGTTGAAAGTAGTTTGTGCTTAGTTACATTTGCACTTAAATGCTTCTGATTGAAGGATTAGCCCTTAAATCCTTAATTACCGTCTCCACCCACGCTTTAAGTTGAAGAATTAGCCCCGATTGAGCACAAATCATGTCAAGAGATTGACATTTCATGTTGTCTTCAATAATTAGGAATTGCTATTGGTACAACACTTGATAAGTTTACCACAATTACTAATGTAGTCATGATTTTTGGCTGACCGAAACAAATATCATTCAATGGGAAGCCTTCTATTTAATTCGTTTGTGAATAAAATTCAAATTTCTTCATGTTATAATACCATCAGAAGTATTATGTTCTTTAATCAACGTAGTGTAATTAGTTTTTATATTTTCTATAATGTTTTCCTGTAGATATGCAGTGTTAGTTTTGGTGCTACAAGAACACAAAATCTCAGCCCCCACCCTATTAATGCCCATACTTAGCTTAAAGGGATTAGCAAGCCATTTTGCCTTTTGGTTTCACTGAGAAATGCGGATCCATAATATGATTTGCAGCCTTTCTACCGGCTGGAGATATGTTGATTTTCAAAGCAGTTAAGGGAGCAGGTACCTTAGTCTTTTAGATCTTTAATCCCCATTTTTCAAAGCTGCAAGCTGCTCCGGACGATGAGGAAACTTTGGAATTTTCACACAAAGACAGATATGGTGAACTTGCAGTTGTTCTGTCCGAATGAAGTGCATAAATTTAAATGCTGATGTATATGTGTTTATTTATTTCTTAAATTATCTCAACTTCTATGCATAGATTGTCTAACATGAAGCTTTAGTAGTAATTTGCAATGTACTAAGTAAGAAAATTAATTGTTGGTTTCCTTGCAGTTAGTCTTAGCCAGCATGATTCATCAATGTCTATACAGAGTGCTACAACATATATTCCTCCGCCTTCAACGGCTAGATCAGTATCCATGAGAGATATGGGCACAGAAATGACTCCTATTGCTAGCCAAGAACCTTCAAGGACAGGAACTCCTGTGCGGTCAACAACTCCAATACGCAGCCCAAATTCAACCAGGCCATCAACTCCCAGCAGAGCTGTGCCATCTTCATCTCCAGCTACTTCACCTTTTGACAGCTTAGATCTGAACTTGGAATTGTCAGAGAAGGAGCTACAACAGAAAACAAGGAGAGAAATTATGGTTCTTGGGGCCCGGTTGGGTAAAACAAACATAGCTGCATGGGCTAGCAAAGAGGAGGAGGATAAAGATGCATCCACTTCACTTAAAACTGTAGCACCAGAACAACCAGCTAAAAGTGTCGAGACCCGTGCGGCAGCATGGGAGGAGGCAGAGAAAGCCAAGTATATGGCCAGGTAAGTTCTTTCTACGAAACTGTCAATGCCTCTTTGGATATATTTTTTTCCTTATTTTGTATCTTTTTGGTTATTTTATGAAGCTTAAATATTGATCCTAAGCACATAACTTACCATTGCACATGGCCATTTATTGAGAAAACTGGCATGGCATTGATCTGTTGATTTGATTAGCTTTTAAACAATACTATAAGCCACAAATCACAATGCCTCTTTTGGCAATTTTTATGTGTTAAAAATGGTAACGAACGGTTTTATAATAGCTTTTCAGATATTGACGTCTGGAAGAAGGAGCAATATGATAATTATTTAATTTATCTGAAGGAATTAGTGATGCTATGTCTTTTCATTTGGTGCATGGAAATTTGCTGAGAATATAAGCTTCCATTGGTGCATCTGTGTAAGATTTTTGTAGAATATCTTCATATGTTTTTGGAATAGCGGCATTTTGGTGTAAATGTAATTGATTTATATGGAATAATCCGCAGACCACTTATGCACGGGTAGTTTTTAGTTAACACCATATCTGTAGCTTGAAGTGTAAAGTTGTGAGGCAATTATCCAGGTTCAAACGTGAAGAAATGAAAATTCAAGCATGGGAGAACCATCAAAAAGCAAAAACTGAAGCTGAGATGAGGAAAATTGAGGTATTATATAGCATCTTCCTATATACATTTTACTTTTTGTTATATCATTATGTTATTTCTTGATTTGTATAAATTGAAAATACTAAAATCAATAAAATCAATTGTTTATTCATTTTCTTTTTCCATACAATCTTGCAGATAGTTTTTTAAATTCTCAAGTTCATTGTAACCACATGGAAAAATTTACATACAAGTAGTGTTAATTGACTTATGGTGGTTGTGATTATGCGAATGGCATAGACTTGGAAGAACATTCACCAGAGATGGTATGGATTCAAACTGTGAGCATCAATTACGATTGAAAAAGAGGCAAGCTGTGTACCCAACTGCTTCCGGTGTAAGCTCTTTTGGGTCACTTCCTGTTAGCTCAAGCTCAAGTCAAGCTTGATTCACTTGTTAAACGACCCATCTGAGCTCAGCTCATACACTTTTTCCCAAGCTCCTAATCGTCGGCAATAGATTATCCTCAATAGTCAATACCCCATACCAATCTCGAATTACATATAGATTTATGACTAGCATGGTAAAGTACAACTGATCTATGCATAAAGAAAACTGGAAAGTAGCTATCAACATAGACTTAAGACACCAATGCCCATTTCACCTCTATTATGGATGGTTATAATCGGTTTAAATATTAAATTTGTGCAAATGAATGTGATTGCTGCTTAGTTTTTATGTGGAGGTTTAACAAATCTGGTAATTTGCTGTTGCTACCTGATGCCTACTGGTTAGAAATTCTATTGTTAATAAGTAGATACGAATTCATAAATGAACTGTATGGTTTGTGGCTTTCAGGTTGAGGTTGAAAGGATGAGGGGGCGTGCTCATGATAAGCTCATGAATAAACTAGCCGCTACAAGGCACAAGGCAGAAGAGAAGCGTGCAGCAGCAGAAGCCAAGAGGAACCGACAAGCTGCAAAAACTGAGCAGCAAGCAGAATATATTCGAAGAACTGGCCGGATCCCTTATTTTCCCTGCTGGAGTTGGTGCTCATGAAATTCGAATTTTTCTATCAGATCGATCTGTTTCACCCATCTGCTCTACTCATGTAGGTTTTCGCACTTTCCAACTTCTACCAAGATGTTCTTGACTCTCTCATGTCATGCCGTTTCCAGGTATTCAGCTATTGGTACCCATGAATATTGAAATATCATACCCCTCTGCATTCCCACTGTAAATCTAAGCTTTACTAGCAACCTGATAAACTGGTCAAAAGCTAAAATGCAGTTCATTTTACCTCTTTTTTCCTCTTCCAAAACCCCCCTCCATCAGACCCCATCCCAAAGAAAAACATATCTGACGGGAAGAAGACTGAAGATTGAAATTTAAAATTTTTTACGGATTTGTTGTATGAGTTGTATATTTTGTTGTATCAATTACAATATACATATATTTCCTAGTGTTTTGGGTATTTAAAGCTATATCTATAATTTGAGTTTGGAGTAATCTAAAATTCAATACTTTTCACTATGTTTTGGAATTAGAAGAGAAGAAAATGAGATGGAAGATGGAAAAGAAAGATTGCATACAGAATGATAACAAATACGTCTGTGCGTGTGTACTTTCGATTCTATATCATTCAACTCTCCCCGTATTGAAGGCTCCAAAGCATAATATAACATGGGACAATAATTTATGTAATTTCACAAAACTTAATATTTAAGTACACTGTTGCCCTTTTTAGCATAAAACATTATGTTTACTTGCAGGGGATTCCATTGACTATTGTTGTTTATGCAAAGTTAATAATAAGAACCAGTATGGAATAAGTAGTAAAACAATTTTCCATGGGTTGGGGTGGATTCAAGTGATGCAAATAGATCTTATAACCACAAATTAAATCAGCGGATGATGGTTTGCTGGCTCACTTGAACAATCTACTTGTAAATCCATTCATTTGCTCGACCTCCAGACTCGTCCATGTCAATGAATATGCTGACTGCCTGAATAACATGAAAAACCAATATAAACATGATGCATATAACAGGTCATGCAAATCCAACTCAACAACATCAAAACAGTAAGAGTTAGCTAATAAGGGTGCATTTGGATGGGCTTTCTGCTAGCTAGCTACTTCTAGCTTCGATGGTAAAAAATGGATTGCATCATATTGGCAAGAAATTGATGAACAAAACTGAACCAAAACCTTACCTTCCCTATTCGAGGCCGCTCTTTCAGCTTTGCTAAGCTGTTTCGAATGTGCGAGACTGCTCCCCAACATTTCAATGTGTTTGCCACATCATCAAGCCTTAGGAGATATTCTTCTTCAGTTAAGGGAAATGATCTCTTCACACAAAAGGGAAGATGAACTTAGAAACATGCATATAATGCACACTAAAATCATCAAAACATGGCAGCAAAGCTACTTCCTTCTTGCTCAAGCATTAAAGAATATCATGACAATAAACGTGAGGAAACATAAATTGGGGCATTTTTCCATGAACACAGTTTTAACAACAGAGGTTTAAGTAGAGAATCAGGATATGATAAATGTTAGTAAAAAAAAGGACAGCCCAGTGCATAAATAGCACCTACTACGCACAGGGTCTTAGGGAAGGGTCTATTATACAGTCTTTCCTTTCATTTTTGCAAAAGGCTGTTTCCATGACTCAAACCCCTGACCACCAGGTTACACGTTAGTCAAGAATGAAAAAGGGAAAACAATATTAAAACCTCATTGAGATCAACTTTTTAAAGCTTCCTCCACATCTTCAGACAGATAAACTTAACAGTCACTTCGAGTTTTTTTGAAGTTTTACACAGGGTTTCAATTTAGTTTCAATATTTTCAGTATTTCGGATTTACCGGACCTTTGGGCAGCTAGTGGAGATTTTTTCATAAATGCATCCAATAGAACACAAGGTTTATTTATAAAGAGAAGCCAAAACCATAGGGGCATTTTGGTTGAGCATACGTGACTAGAGACTAAAGTCTCACTTACTAGATCATATTTTCACCAATCACCATTGCAGGATCAGAAGGTTATATTTGTGGATAACCAAAATTACCCAACACCAAAGTCATTAAAATTTATGTTTGAGATAAGCGGGGAAAAAGGGCCTAGTTAAATGAGCAAAAGTTTTATCTCAAAGAAGTGTTGTAATTAGTGATTTCAAGAATTCTTTACAAAAAATTGTCTCATAATCAGCTCAACCATTTTCAAAACTTAGTAATATTCCTTGTAATATGATATTATGGTATTTCCAAGGCATAACTCTGCAGCTCAAAATCTGCGTACCTGTTCCATGTACTTCCACATAACATTCAGTGCAAGGAGATTTCTTCCCATGAACTCCTAAATTAAGGCATGCAAAGGTTAACTCTTAAGTGACAAACAAACACAAAATAGCAACTGAACAAACTGTTAATTCAACCACCATGGCAGAATATTGAATGAAACTTTAGCATAAGCCCTCAAAGATGCAAAAAAAGTGCTGTACTCTAAGCTTATACCTTTTTAGGACAAGTTAGGTGCATTGTTTTCTGTAATAAGCAAGTCTTAAATCATAATCAAGTTATGCAATATGCAAAAAGCATATTTTTGTTAACAATATCAATGTGTTACCCGCTGCAGCTGCCATAAACACACTAGTCTGCATCCTACATAATTAAAGAAATAAGACAATTATCCATAGAGCTTAAATTGAAACTTTATAGTATCCATTGAACATTGGCTCTTGAAATGAATCATTAATAGTTTAAAGTTAGATAGGCCACATGTTTTTGCATACAGGGGGCATAGAGATTTTCTCTTTACCTCATTACACAAGCTGATTAATTTTCAGTAGATAATTTCAAATGAAATGCAGCAAAAGGGACATCATGGAAATAATTCTATAAAAATTGGGCTACATGCTAGGGCACCATTAACAACATTCATCTACATTCTACACATTAAAGGGCCATCTCAATCTTATGGTTAGCTAAACCTAAATATCATTATAAGTTATCATTTTCAGAAGCATAATTAAGAATCTAAGAAACTATAAGTTAGAACAAGTAAAAATAAGCTGACAAAGCCATCCACTCATTTAGAAATGCATACCTTCTTTATTAATTGAACATCATAAGACCTGCCATATTTGTTCCTAATTAGAGTTGCAAGGTCTAAGCCACTAAAGGTGGAATCATCTTTGCCAACTATTCGTTCAAGGTTTTCTCGAAGCATTTCACTGTTTGTCTGAGACGATTGCAGAAGAGAACCATAAATAAACAGAAATCACTAGAGCAAGCATCAGGACCTTGCATGTAAGAAGAGAAACTTGGTATAAAAATGAAACTTTGTCCACAAAGAACCATCTATAAAGGAAGATCACAAAAATCCACCAAATAACCAATCATAGAAAAAAAAAAAAAAAACGCAGTTTTTAGACCATCCATAAGTTTTATCAAAATGCCAGTCAACTCCATTGGAATGAACATATAGATGCTACCTGACCCAACCCAAACCCAACCCGACCTTACCAGCAAAAACCAAAAACTTCAACAACCCAAATCCAAAAGTCAACAGCTTGAACTAGACATCGACACAAATGGAAGCAACTGTAGAAGTTAAAACCCAACACTAAACTGACCAGACCCACCCAATTGCCAGCTATATGGATATAGCTTTAAACTGTTTATAAACCAAAATTCAAATATAATACCTCATAATTTCCACCTTAAGGAGTAATAAATTCAACAATTTACATGAATAAAAGAGTAAGACCGTACCACTTGGGCTTAATTCAAGTGGCAGGGTGGGGAGGGGGGGGGGGAGTTATAGTTAGAAACTTAGAACTCACAGTTTCAACCCCAGTGCTCTTACCTTGTACTTGGAAAAAAAAAAAAAAAAGACTGACTCTTTATAGGTTCTAAGAGTGCATTGATTTAATGCAAACCAAAATATTTTCTCTCCAAATTTTTAATTTTTATAAGCAAATCTCCCCTTTTTAATCATTTTATATAATACAACTTATGTGACCCTTAAAATGCAAACATGTCAATAACTTTGAATTATACTCATTAGATGTCATTCATTACTTATAATTATCTACAAAACAATAAATTCTTATTTTATAAATTGTTCATTCAACAAAAATTGAAATTGTTACTTTTTTAAAAAAAATCTTATTATTAATAATAAGATTGTTTAGAATGTTTTATATTCGATATTATTTTTTATGCAACACCAAACACAGTTATTTAAGATCATTGGTGATTTATACCAAACATGCTAATCTAATAACTTTATTATATTATCACCACAGTGGTTTAAAAGTGATATCAAAAGCTACCTAAAGATAATAAAATTGTCTAACATATTAATATAGTAAAATCCAATAGGCATATTCCATGGCTATCAATAATTTTACAATTGTACACAACAACTAACAGCGGACTAAAATACCAAAACCCAACATGCAAATTCGAAGAAACATGAATATGAGAATATCTTGATCTCAAAGACATCATTCTGCAACAAACAAAAATGAAACTTTTTATATATTTATTGAATTGAAAAGAGAAAATCAAGCATACTCCTTCGTTTTCGCCTTGTGAAGATTGTTTCTCATCATTCCCATTCTCATCATCATCTGGGTCAGTTCCAGCGTCATCCACGGCACTGGAAAAGGTTGGCCTACATCTCCCATGACTTTGGGACATACTAGTAGCAAGGTATTGACCCTGTCCCTGGGAAAAACTAATTCCCCCCAAAGGAAAATACGGACCATAAAATCTCAAGTTTGGAAGCTTGTGAAATCTTCCCTTGCTGCAGACATGTTCCGAAACTCCAACCGACCAGTTACAACAGTTGCTTGAAATAAAGCTTGTCATATCCTGTAAATTTTACAAATTTTGAAACTTTCAAAGGGAATGAAGGAAAGGGAAGTGAGGAGAAGAAGCAAGTGAGAAGAAGTCGTGAAGTAAAGAGAAAAGCAGAGAAGAGAAGCGTAAATACTGAATTGAGATTTGAGACAGAGACAGTCATTTTTTGTTAAGGAAGGAAAAGAGTTGTGGTTTGGGATAGCTTAACCGTAGACAACTCATCTATTCTTTCCCACTCAATTAATCCCCACCGTTGCCTATCCCATTCCCTTCCCAAACCGAAAATGGGTTCGTTGGAATTTGACTCGGTTCATTTCATTCAACAAATACAAATATTTCATCCGTTTATCTTTGTTAAGTAGTGATTTTACCTCTTTAACCTTTTATGTTATGTATTATTCTCGTCAAATTCATTACTAATATGAAGTGATTGATTAGTAACCAATAAACAAAGAGGATGAAGTATAGCAAAGAGCAATGAGCATGATATCATTGCACAAATGTTGGTTACATATGTACAAAATTTGGCTCCTAAAGCCAGTAGACGATGGATCACTGAACTGTCACAAAACCATCACAAAAAGTGTCTTTGCCAATATGAGCAAACAAATTTGCAGCAAATCCCCAAAACATTTGCCGTTCTAGCAAAATTCAAGTCGAAGAATATCGATTAGTTCGCATACAAACCGTCTGCAAAAAAAGATCACCCTTGAAATCAAAGTTGCCAATCTATGGGGGGAATTCCCTTTGGCACCAAAAGCTGGTTTGTGCGAGAGAAATGCCTGTTTAAAATGTTACAACAAGTGAAAGATATCAAGACAAAATAGCATCATAAATTCACATGTGGACTTAAGCATAGTCATTAACAACTGACAATTAATCTTTATAATCTGCAAAGAATTAAGATCATAATAGTACAAGAGTGTATATAGCAATCACCTACTATTTAATGCTGAGTTCAATCAACTGTTGTTACCATAAAACACAATCTCAATAAACCATTCAATCTCATCTCAGAATTCAAAAAACCAAAAAATGTATATATCAAAGCCAGCGGACTTTTTGTGTAAACTGTAAAGGAGCAAACTTGTTTCCAACCATACTAACCTGCAACCAAAGAAGCCTTTATTTGCAGACAAACCAGAGGGATGTGCTGCCTTGAGAATGTGATGCTTTGTCTGATCAATGAACCTGTGACAGATTAAGAGGAGTCTCAACCAAGGTTATCAATATGATCATGGTGAATGTTTTAGTTTCCCTATTGGAACAATGCATGTTTATACTAAGTGTTGCAGTGCACTATCTTAAATGTAACAACAGAATATGATACATAGAACAAGAATATATACAATAGCAAATATTTTAGAATTCCTCTATTTTTCAAGCTTATAATAAGCTGTGTTAGAAGGACTCAAGTAAGATTTTCTGACATAGTGCCTTACTCAAAATTCAGAGCTACACATTTGGATAAAGAGTCCAAAAGTAGAGTTATTTGGAAACATCTTACAATTTTTGTCATGAAAAAGCATTAGTATCTAGAACTTATTAGTGAAATTTGGGAAGCCATGCAATTATCAACAAACTCCCAGCCCTTCCCTCCCTAAAACACTCAACTAAGTAATCAGGTCAGATCTGCCATTTATATCATGCATCTTTCATTTTCCCTTACGACTTTCTCATCTATAACCCATGAAACACTACACATTGCATCTTCCCTTTCTTCTCCAAATTTCCATCTTTCTTCATGTTTTCTTGAGAAATTCTGGAGAATCTACTGGTTTAGGACCAATATAAACTTGAGTAGACGCACCAAGCCAGTCCATACAGTATTTGCCATGTTGGACACAAATTCCCCATCCACACACGTGTTGTGTTTTGTTGACACTGGTACAGTGCCCTAAATCAGTGAGTGCATGTAAGACAGAAAATGAATGAAGATAAAATAGTGAATGGAATTATACAGCTCATAATGAGCTGAGGAGCACAATTTAACTTGTGTAGGAAAAAAATCCTAGAATTATGAATATAAAAAGAGAGTGGGGAGAGGGAGCTGAAGATGTTTGACCATTAATACTATGATTGAAAAGCAGCACCTGGATTTCTCTTGAGCTGAGTTCCCCCAGAGGAGGAAAACGACTCCTTCCTTCTTTTGTGAGATAATCTTAATAATAGCATCAGTAAATTGCTCCCAGCCTTTCTTTGCATGAGAATTAGCTTGCTGCTTCCTAACTGAATATCAATAATGAAAACAAAAAATCAAGAAAGATATAGATTAGAGGGATAGGGATAACAATAACCAAAAATCAAGTTTCATCTCCAAAGGAGGTGATGCCATGAAGTCACAAAACATTCCACATGTTATGAATATAACATGACAATGATTTTGTTATCTAAACAAGCAACGCAACTATGTTAATATCCACAGCCTTTCAAATCCCAAAAGAGATAAGACATTGACAAACTTGTACCTGCATCTAGCTTTGAAAATATGAATCATACAGACTTCTCATAAAAGTTTTATGCTTGCTTCTTTCATGAACTCCCTATGACAATACGTGCTTGCTAAACAGTTCTCTTATAACTCATATAATATTTATTGGTAAACCAGGCTTTACCAATATTTGCAATAATCATCTTTTCATGAATGTACTCAACAACTTATTTCCATTACCAAAGTCCTAAAAATCCAATTATAAGCTCACATACAAATAATACCACAATCTCAAGTGTGGATAAGAACATTACCTGTGAGAACAGTGTTAAGCAAAAGAACACCCTACAAGATGGTAAAAAGTAAAAAACTAATGTCAGCGTGTTTTATTAAAACAAATACGGCAGAAGCCAATCACAAAAAAAAAAAAAAAAAAGTCTATATTTTCATTCATAGGTTCCGTTATCAGTGCACATTTTGGCACATTGTGATATGTGATATATTTTATGCAGTTTTCACCTGAACAGCCCATTTCTCTAGATTTCCATGAGATGGAATTGAACAGCCAAGATCTTGCTTAAGTTCCTTAAATATATTCACCAGACTTGAGGGAACCTTAACTCCCTCTGGCACTGAAAATGAAAGCCCCATTGCTTGACCAGGTCCATGATAAGGGTCCTGAAACAAGTAAAAAATTTTCATATGCTCATAGTCATGGGACATTAACATTAAATTAACTAGTAACTCACTTGGCTCGAAAACTTTTGGATGGTAAAACTTTACCTGTCCAATAATAACAGCTTTGACCCTGTGAAATGGAGTAGAATTAAAGGCATTGAAAATCAAATGCTGGGGTGGGTATATGGGGACGCTGCCATTGGATATCTCCTTCTCAACAAATTTGCACAAGTTAGTTGCGTAAAGCTTCTGAAGCTCTCCGGGTAGGGCTTCAAGCCATGTTTCCTCCACCAAGAGTTCCTCCAGTTTGACGTATCCTGATCCTTCAACCTTGGATTGGGATAATATCTTTTGGGAACATATTTTGAGGTTGCGTTTTGATTTGGCCAGGGATTTGTTTAATTCCATCCGATTTTTTTGCTGGGTGGTGAGAGAGGAAAGTGGTTGGTGTTGGTGATCGGGAGGAGAGGAGAGTTTCTGACGCTTGGGTGGGCCTGGGTTTGGTTGGAAGAAATCGGTTATGGCTTTGGAGGATGCGGCGGCCATTGATCTTGGCTGTAGCTGTAGCTGTAGCTGTAGCTGTAGGGAACAAGTAAGGCACCCAAACGAAGAAGCGTCTGTTTGACCATTAATAGGGAAGGATTTGGAGGGAAACCAGGGAGGGATTAGGAGGGAAAGGCTGAAAGGAAGATATGCTTTTGAACTTTTGTCAACAGTTAGAACTGTCAGGGCCGCCCGAAAGGCGAGGCTCTGAACAGATAATTTTAAGTCCGTACCTGGTCTGATCCAGTTCAAATATTATTTTATTTAATGTAATAATTAATATAAAAATTAATTTTGCTATGCTAACATTATTTTAAATAGTGCACAAAAAAACCTAAATGAATAGCATAGATGTACTCAAATTATATCAAATATTAAAATTAATGTATTTATATTATATTTTACATAAAAATTATGTATCATAATTTTATATCAAATAAAAATATAAAATATATTTTTTATTTTATTAAATTCATATATAATTATTATTAAAATTTTAAATTGTATTATTTTCATATTTTTTTATATTATATTTATATCAAGTTATCATACAAAAATTTAAATTATCAAATTTAAATAAACATGTGGAATCTTAGACAAAACTTTGAAAATACTAATATTTAATTTGACAGAATTTATTAGATTTTTTTAGTGTAATGAGAGAAATTTTATCAAGTACATTAGATCTCCAAAGATTTAATTATAAACTACAATTATAATGAAAGAAAAATCTCTCACCACACTAACAAAAAAAACCTCTTAATCACAATCTTTCCTTATTCAAATTTGTAAGTGCACAAACTACGCAATTAAGCATAAATTTTTTATGGTACATATTAGTAATGAAATTTAATGTGCATACATCAAAATCACAACTTTCATTATTTGTTATTAACGTTATGTTTGCTATTAAAAAAAAAAAAAGAAAATAAGAGAAGGAAAAAATGAGGAAAGAAAAAACAAATTTAACTGCACCTACCTTTTATCTTGTGTTTGAATATAAGCAATGAAAAATAAAAAATAGAGAAAAATGTTAAAGGTGAAATTGTAGGTTTTTTTTTTTTTTTTTTAATTTTGGCTTTTTAGAGCGAAGAGAAAATTTTAAATCTATTAATTGTACTTTCTCTTTTAATTTTATTCTTATAAAAATAATAAAAAAATAATTGTTGTTTTTACCAAATAGATAAGAATAATTATGCATTTGACTATAACAAAAATTTTAATTTGGTATATAAATTTTAAAATTTACAATGTAATATTCAAACTTTGATTTCATTTATCAATTTACACATCTGTTCATGATGTGTTGTGTCCCATTAGTCTATAAATAAACTTTATTACTTCGTATGAAAGAAATATTTCAAATTTATCATTTTTAAATATAAAAAATTAAATTTAACAATTCGTATATTTGTATTATGTAAAATATTAATAATTTATATATTTGTATCATATTTTACTTAAAAATTATATATTATAATTCGTATTGATACAAAAATATAAAATATATTTTTTATTTTGTTAAACCTGTTTATAATTTTTATTAAAATTTTAAATTATATTACTTTCATGTCTTTTATTCGTATTATTTTCATGTCAAGTCATTGTATCATATTTTATATTACTATATTTATAAAATAATAAAATTTAATATTAAACTTTCGACTATAAAACGGTATTTGGTTCAGGAAATTTTGAATTCCAAAATAAAGTGTGATACCCGAGGTTTTTTTTTTATTTTCAATGCATCTCATGTTTAAATTCACTCATTTGATTGAAAAGAATCCACGTATATTAATTTTTGAATAATTACCATAATCTCCTTAACATATATGATGATAAATTTTTATTAATTTTTATTAATAATAAATATTCAAATAACAAATGATGCCTTTAACAACAAAATAAGATAAATATTTTATTTGATTATTATTTTTATTTATAAAATATCATTAATAAAAAAAATGAAAGATTATTTAAAGCGTTTCTGATTGAAAAATGTCTTAGATAATCTATTTTATTTTTTTAAATAGATTATTTAAGTAAAAAAAATGCCTTAAATAAATTTCATTTAAAAAATATAAAAGATTATTTAAGGGTTTTTTATCTAAAAATATCTTAAATAACCTCTATTATTTTTTAAAATGAATTATTTAAGACGTTTTTGAATAAGACTCTTCAATTCTTTGAAAGTTATTATTTAAGATATTTATGACAAAAAACGCTTTAATTAATCTCTAATATTTTTTAAAGAAGATTATTTAAAATTTTTTTGGTCAAAAATACTTTAAATAATCTCTAATATTTTTTTAAAAGGAATTATTTAATGCATTTTTTATAAAAAAAATCTTAAATAATTTCTAATATTTTTTTGAAATGGATTATTTAATACTTTTTTAGTAAAAAATATCTTAAATAGTATTTTTTTAATAAAAATTTAAATAAGATTATTTAAGACATTTTTTTATACCAAATGCCATTAATTGCAATATAAAAAAAAATTTATGTTGTAGTAATTTACAATTGATTTGTAGTCACTTTCAGACATATATTTCAAAAAATTAATAGTTATTTCACAAATTTTTATTCAAATCAATTTTTAAAAATAACGTAATTTTTTTTCTCATAAATCCTATAATACCACAGGGAGATATGAGTTTTTGGTTTCGAGATTTTGAATATTGTTAAAAATCTATCACTTTCCTTCATAATCAAATTACTTTAAACTAAACGTTGAAATCAAATATCTAATAGTAAAATTTTGAAAAAAAATGTATTAATTTTTTTAAATTAAATGCCCCATAAGTATTTTATGATTGGTTGGATAATGACATTAACACTTAACATGCTTATTCAAATCCAATTTAACTTATTAACATTTTTGAGTGTCAAATTATGTTTGTTCATCCATACTCAAATAACATTTTTTATCTTAAAAATAAAAACATGATATTTTAATTTTTTATAAAGTTTTAAAATACAAATAATTTAACATTTTTAACGATTATAACATAATATAATATTTATATTAAATATAAAACAACATATGTTATATACTACTTAAAAAACAAATATTTAATCAAATAATTCAGGTTGTAAATGTTAGAGTCAAAGCTCCGTTACTTTTTCGGTCAAAACTCGTTTAACTGACTTAATAATTTCGGTCCAAACTTTTCAAATTAAGTGCATTGGGTTTTCACACCTAGGGTTCCTTAGGAGTCACACCTAAGGTTGACTGCATCACACAATCACAATCCCTATTCCAGCCCAGCAAACTCCTCATCGGAGGATTCATTCGGGATCCAGGTCCTGGCGGAGCCTCAATTAGTTTATCAGGGTTCTGCATCATAATGTTTTACAGTTGAGCACAACTTCTTTTTAAATTTCTTTAGAAATTTCAAGTTTGAAAAGGCTATAAATATCATACTAAGTTGCATTGCCAATGTTTGGGAAAGGATAAGTAGAAGATAAAGAATAAATATTATCTCCTTCACTTTTACTTCTATATTATTTTGTTTTACCTAAACAAAAATGATATTATAATGAGATGACTTTTGCACTACGGTCTGCATTGAACGTTTACCTCTCAATGCATTCATGAACCTCTGTTATGTTTTGTTCTTTATCATTTATGTCGAGTAAACTGTTGTTTCCTTTTCTTTTTTTTCGCAAATAAAAAAAAAAGAGAAAAAACTAAGTAGAAATTCCAGCAGATACAGAATTGGGCCTTAGTTTCTACTGGTGAATGGCCCCATGCTTTCTACTGGTGAATGTCCCCATGCATTCGTGCCTTTCTTGTAGGTATTTGCTTAAGATTATTGGAACTGGTGAGAATGTTCGTCTGCAATATCGTTCTCTTAGTAAGATCTTGATCCCTCAGCCCAATGAAGATAGATGTCCTTCACAACCTATTTAGAACAGTAGCTCATAGATGTAAATTTCTTTTACTCACGCCATAACATCCCATAGAGTGCATAGCTAGTGGAATGGTGAACTTGTCTGGCTTTCAGAGAGATGTAATTTACCTTTTTTTTAGGTATACTATTGTATTTGGATGTTGTTTTATCCAGGAAAAGAAAGTTATTCGGCTCCCGGTATCATGTAAGAAGCCCTGTAAAGGAAGATACGATCATTTGCTTGAATGCAACATTAGGATGGGGACTATCACCTACACATACATTTGGTGAACACGACACTAGTTATTTTCCTATCATTTTCATTCTTTAAATTGTTTCACTCAATATCCACATCAAATGCAAATAAGCTACAATCTGGAGCAGAAGCAGCAAATGTTAATTGAACTATAAAACTTTCCATCATCTCATTCAAACTAGAGGATTCGGAATGAGATCTATCAAAAGCAGTGAACTCATGAATTGCACCATTGACTTCTATCCAGCTACATCCTCGTATCTTTTTAACACCTTTGTCCTTCATAAGCTTTCTTATCTGAGCGGCTGAATCCCAGTTTTGGCACCTCGAGTACATGTTTGCCAAAAGGGCAAATCTACCGCTATGATTTGGCTGCAATTTGATTAACTGTTTTCCTATATATTCCCCTAGATCAAATGCCTTGTGAATCATACAGGCCCCAAATAAAGCTGCCCAAACTCCAGCCGTAGGCTCTATAGGCATATCTTCAATCAACTTCCTTGCTTCTTCCAAGTACCCTGCCCGACCAAGCAGGTCAACCATGCAACTGTAATGATCTGCACTAGGAACCAAACCATACCTCTGCTTCATCATGGCGAAGAGTTTTCGCCCCTCATCAACAAGACCTCCATGAGCACATGCGCCAAGAACACCAAGAAAGGTAACTTCATTTGGATGAGTACCACTACTTAGCATTTCCCAGAACAGATTTAAGGAGCCTATTGCATCACCATGCATCGCAAACCCATTAATCATGGCAGTCCAAGAATAAACATCCTTTCCACTCAGCTTCTTAAAAACCATGAAAGCCTCATTCAAACACCCGCACTTTGTATACATATTTATCAAAGCCGTCCCAACTCTGGAATTCATCTCCAGTTTATATCTATCAATATATCCATGAACCCACCTTCCTTGTACCAAAGCCCCTATTTCAGCACAAGCAGTAAGAACACTAGTAAATAGAAATTCACTTGGCCTAACCTTCTCTATTAGCATATCCTGGAAAAAGACAAGTGCCTCCTTGAATCTATTACATTGGACATAACCAGCTATCAAAGCACCCCAACAGACCAAATTTTTACTTGGCATTTCATCAAAATATTTTCTCGCATCATCACAGCACCCACATTTCGAGTACATATCAACAAGGGCACTACCAATGAACACATCCCATTTAACTCTCCCTGTTTCCATATAAAATCCATGAATACTCCTTCCAAACCAAATATTACCCATTTTCCCTGCAGCGCTAAGGACACTAACAACAGTCATTCCATCAACTTTTACACCCTTTACTCTCATTTCCTTGAAGCATTTCAACCCTTCAACAAAACAACCAGTTTTCAAATACCCATCAACTAAAGCAGTCCAAGAAACGACATCCGTTTGCTCACTTTCATCGAACACTTGACGAGCAAGTTCCACGTCTCCAGAGCGAAAAAGAGCAGAAATCAATGCATTCCTTACAAAAGGGTCAGAATTCATTCCGAACTTAACAATATGAGGCAAAAGCTGAAATGGGTTCTGGTTTTGGGACTTGGAAAAGGATTTGAGAAGGGAAGGGAAAGTGTGCATGCTGGGAGTTATACCTTTTCTACGCATTATGGTATAGAAAAGGAGAGACTTTTCGGGTTGGGAGCTTGCAGAAATGTCTCTGATAATGATGTCCCATTGGTGAATGCTAGGTGTATCGATTTGATCAAAATGTAGGGAAATGGAAGCAATGTCTGTGGAGGAAGCCAAGAGTTTGTTGAGACAGAGCGAGTCATGTGCGAATGAACAAGCTGATGAGAATAAAATGAATCGGCTAGAGATCAACGAGATGGTGTGAGTTAGTGGCGACAACTTACCAAACTGGTAACTGCAGGCATGCATTTTCTTTTTAATTTTTGGGCTTAACAGACATGCATTTCACTGCTTTGGTTGCTGAATCAATTTTCTTTGGTCGGAGTTAGGAGTTTGAAATGATCAAATGATTCAACTCCTTCCCCTTTACTCCTGCAGGCATGGGATCCAATCTCCAGGATTTATCCTGCCTTTTGATACTAACCCATTTGCCAATCCAATCCCTTTCACTTGGGAGGGGACCAAATGTTCAATGTCTCCCATTTGAACTGGGTTCGAACTTCGAGTCAAATTATAAGCAAAAAAATCCAATGTCATGCTTTTACTTTCAATTGAAGATGTTTTAAGTATCAATTTTTGTATTGACTTTGGATGTATGTTTTACACCTGAAACTTTGTATCTGCCCGTTGAGAGATCACATTCCAATTTCCAAACTTTTATTTTGATTAAAATATTAAAAAAAAAAACCTTGAATTATTATTTTTAAATAAATTTTTATTTTTTTATTATATTTAAATATATCTTTAAAAAATATATATATTAAAAACTTATTTAAGCATAAATTAAAAAATTAAAAAATTATTTAGATATAAATTAAAAATTAAAAATTTATTTGAATAAAATAAAAATATAAAAATTTATATAAATAAAATTGTAAATTTTAAGAGTTTTTTTTATTATTTTAAAATTTTTTTTATCGAAAATGGGACTGTTGCCCGTTGGTGTGATATTTTAGGGGTCCAACGAACCTAAAGTATATATGAAACTAATCATTTTTTAAAAAGTTAATATTTAACATATGTAAAGTTTAAATTTTTGTATTCAACCATTTTTCTATCATCAAATCACTATTTTTTTATAAAAAAAAAATCCGAACTAACAAATATTTTTATCTTAATAATAATATAACAATAGAACATAAGATTTAATTTAATTAATTTATATAATTTTTTTAAAAATAATATTTTAATATTTATAATTTTTTATTTCCATACTGTTATTTTTTATAAAAATAATAATTATTCTTTTCCGCCACTTATTCAATTATTTCTTCATTAATTAATAATCACGGGATCTTCACGAGCCACTCTAATTTGGCATTATTAATCACGTGAACTTATGTCTAATTTTTTATATATAAAATTGAAATTAAATTAAATCGAATTAAAACTCCCTCGTCAACTTGACAGTGGCGAAGCAAGCTGGTTTAGAAAACCATATCGCAAAACCCGCCCCAACGTTTCCTAATTATGACTCTTGGCTTTTTTCTCCAACCATATAATTTTTAATTATTTTTATCTCTTATATAGTACATTTTTAAATTTTTTTAAAAAATTGCAATAACCAAATCAATAAAATAATTCTAAAATATCGATTAAGCAAATATTATCAATTAATTTAATTCATTAATTCAACGATGAATTGTTAAAATTATAAGTGTAATTGACACTTCAAAATGCTCTTTAGTAATAGGAGAATTTTTTTTTTTTTTAATATCGGAAGCATTTGATATAAATGAATATACTAAATATTCGATAAATTATTAGTATAAATTTTTAATCAATTAAAAATATTAAAAGTAAGTATGCAAATAATTTTCAACAAAATCTTGGCAAAGTTGCATTGTAACAAGGGGTAATGGCAGTGTTATGCCTTAACAACTTTGACATCTGACCCTTCATTTCCTTGCATGCCTTCTCCAACTCTACCACTTTCCATTGCATCTTTTGCAAATTCAGTTTCATATCTTCAGTCCCTTGTGAAGAACTCTCCTCTGATGAGTCTATGCTGCCATTGAACAAGATCATATGGGAGTAATTGCCATTGCTGCCGCTGGGACTGTTGTGATATACAAACTGGGGTACTTTGGACAGCTGTGACATGAGTGCTTGAACAGCAATATTTGGTGGGATTCTAGGATTCTTGGCAAGGTCTTTGCTTGTTTCGAATGTAAGCTTTTGGTAGTTGAGGCATCTACATAGCCTTGATCGCTCCTCAAAAGAAAGAGTAGGATGGGACTGCAATAGCCATTACCAACAAAATGTACTCAAGTCTTCCTTCAATGTACCAAAAAAAGAAGCATAAATTAGAGGAAAAATTATATGAAATAGTAACCTGAAGATAGATATCAATAGCTCTATAGACCCCATCAAAGCAATCTCGAGCGGATTCAGGTAAACTCTCAGCTACTGCAAGAAACTTAGAGATATTCAGGTTCTGGTCCGGAGATATTTCTCTCAAGTAATTATCAATTAATCTTCCAAACTTCTTCATCTTCAGTGAAGACACCGCTATACCGTTGATAAATACTTTTATCAATCTTATTACAAGATTAACGTCATAAACACCCTTGTTATGTCCAGATACCAATAAGTCATCGACAGTTGCTTCATCAAGATTCTCACCGATTAATCTCTCCAAGCCTACCCTGCAGTCTTTGCTGAGGCTAAATGCAGAAACCACTCTCAACACCCAAAACAGTTTCCTGCAAGAAAATTTAGTTTTTCCTACCAGGATGACCCCATGAACAGCCGTTTCTGCCAGACCACTATTTTCAGATTTTGAGGTTGGTGAACCTTGGGCTCTACTTTTCAGGTAATGGAGAAGGAACCTTGTGAGTGTAAAGCTGTCGTTTTTGTTCCCATAAGCACCCAAATTCTTGACAATTTTTTCAATAATCTTTGGACTTAGTATTGTCAAGTCATCGAACCACCAAACCTTGCCTGATTTATTACATGGACTGGCTGTTTTAGGAGTGGCTTTGGATGTGGAAGGGAATCTGAAGCCATAGCTTGTTTCAGGAGAAGATGAAGATGAAGAAGAAGAAGTGATGAAGTTCATATCTGAATTCTGAACAATCTTTGCTAACAGTGCAAAAATGAGCTTTTGGATTAGACCATATGAATCTGCATATGAAAAGAATGACTCACAGTTCCTTAGGCTAGTAATTATATCATTCCAGGACCAGTTAAACATTCCTCCAAAGAACTTCTCTGTTTGTCTCAAGAGATTGTTGGTTGAGGCTTTCTCAGTCATACCAAGAAAAAATGCACAGCAATAAAGCAATGACACATTGGAAACTGTGATTTCAGCTCTGCCGTAGCTGTAACAGAATCTTGAAACTTGCTCAAATCCATCTGGACCGCCAGGAAAGTCATTGAGTTGTATAACTGAATTTTCAATCTGGGTTCTTCTCTTTTGTTTTCTAATGATCTTTTTCAACCTTCCTGAGTAAGCTGATATAATATTCTGGACAGAAATGTTCAAAAAACATATTCAGAACACTGGTTCTATACATTGAAGGTAATAGGAAAAACTAAAAGTAAAAGATCGAACAAAAGAATGAGATTACCTCGTTAACAAAGAATACTTGTTGATCATTAATGTGAATTTGGAGATTGCTAAACTGAGGCATTGCTGCTTTCCAGGTTTCACCCATGAATCATAGAAACCAAAGGAGGCTTTTGTTGGTATGTGACAAAGGAGAAACACTGAAGGGTTTGCAGTGGAAGAAGAGAGAAAGAAATGAATATGTTTATAAATAGAGAAGCCTAGAACTATAGGTAGAAATAATAGAGCCATGTAGGTATGATAAAACCAGCAATATGATGTCAATTGCCAATTGCCAAACATGCTCCGGGGTGTGCGCTATCAAAATATATATAAACAAAATAATAAGATGCTTGTAGCCACTAGTCTTGCACAAACTACTACAAAGTTAATGATATAATTTTGCTAAAAAGAATCCTACTGAGCATTAGATCAGACAAAACCTACCCTTCCATGCCTTCAATACTTATAAATGTCGATTCTTTCTTTCTTTTTAATTTGGAGGAAAAAGGATTGGAATCAACTCTTTGAGGAAGAGATACATATATCAAATATTGCATCAATTATTTAGGTGCAATGCAATAAATATCAACTTTAATGTCCAAATTATATATAATTTTATACAAAAAGATTGTAGTCTGAGATAAGGGAAAAGATTGCAATTGTTGAAATTTAAATCCCTAACTTGTTGGATGATACTTCATTCAATATATTTAATTTCAATGCATGTTCAATTATGCTCAAAATTTAATCTTAGAAGATTTTTTCATCAGAAATATCTGTTTCAAGCTGTTAGGGGGCTTGATTAAATTTCAGTTTTGGGAATGGTTTCTTGACATAATTATCAAGACGATAACAAGGCAAGCTGAGATGTGGGAGACTAAAAGATGGGAACAATCTGTTGGCCTAGCAAATTGAAGATTATAGTTGTAGTTAAGTTCTAGACAAAACAAACTAGAATATGCACTTTGGAACTGCACAATAATTTCCAAAATCAATGATGTTTCAAAGCTCATTGCACATAGGCAAAAAAAGGACCCAAATGTGTGATAGTACATTATTTGGTAGAATTAAAAAGATATATATAAGAATGACTTCCAAATTGGTAATAGAATTATTTTGAGACAATAGATAGACATAAAACATAAGCTTTCAAATTGATCTAGCTTCACAGTAGACAATCACTGAGGTTCGACGTTGTCTCGATCTTCAGACTATTGTAACTTTCTGCACCAAAGCCTGCGGAAGAAATTTTTTCTTTTGTGGTGCCGGTGGCGGTGCCAATAATGCAGAGACATGAATGAGAAAAGGGTGCCTTATCAGCCTATGAGCAGTCCAGCGATCACAGGGATCCCTAGCAAAGGACCTCATCAAGGAATATTTCCCTGACTTGGTGACTTTGACATATATATCTTGGGGTTATCTAGTGAATCCCTTGAGAATGCAATCTTCATGGCCAAATCTTCCACGTCAATGGCTGATTACCATGGTCGTTCTCCAGCCATCATCGCAACAATAACACATCCTAGCGACCATATATGTCCAAAGCAGCAGTGATTTTCCCATGCTCTAGAGATTCTGGCGACGTGGTGGTGCCGCATCTCTTTCTCTAGGTTCCTTGGAGCCAAAATCAGCAATCTTCAAAGTACTAAGAGAACCCGAATGATGAGAAGGATGAACGAGAATGTTTTCTGGTTTGATATCGCAATGTACGTAACCTCTCTCATTAATGTGGAAAAGCCCTTCAACTATAGCACTTTCGGATCAGATTCTGATATTTTTCCACCATACTTTTTGATCAAATTCAGAAGGCTCTCTCCAGCCGCGTAATCAAGAAAAAAGTTGCGATTTTCAACCTCATATTCAACGCTCGAAATTTCAGATATGTGGGCAACTAAGAAATCGTCAAAGGATCCAATATTCCTTCTGAATAGAAGGGCTAGGAGAAGTAGAATATTTCACTGCAAGTAGTCAAGGAACAGGCTTTATTATCTTTGCTAAATCCACAGCCCCATATCCTCCCTCGCCAAGATTCTTCAGTTTCATCCATTACAGAGTCAGTCAGACCAGAGCTGAATGATACCCTTGTTATTACTTCTGGAGCACACTCCATTGTCCTGCTCTCCATATTTAATGATGAAAGCCAACAAATGAAAAAGAAGCGATCAAAGCCAAGCCAAGCAAAGCAAAAGAATTGGACACAAAAAGATCTGGGCTTCTTAATTCAACCTCACAATGTTAATATTAGGTAAATATAGCCTCGGCGAGGCCAAGTTTTTGAGTCGGTTTATGGATGAATTCACTTCTTTGCCCTCTTCCTAGCCCAACGGTCAGCTCTAATGTCAACTTTGAAATCTCAAGAAAGTAATTCTGTTAAATAATTTTTTATTATTTAATAAAATATAAATAATATTACTTAAATAAAATAGTTTATTTAATAAATGGACTATTATATTTATTTATTTTATTTTGTTTTGTGTAATGAATTATTATATAATTTGCAATAATCTAAAGTCCCAAACACTTGTTTTCAGTATATTAAAGATTACTACAGTTTTTTTGCCAAAACAACATTGGTATCATTTATTAAATGTCTTTTATGTATTCAATATTTTTGAAAAAAGCCAAACAGTCCCTTAAGAATTCATTCAATTATTGGAAGAGGTTTTGGAGTGCTCTGTTATTTCCAATTTTTTTCAAATTGATTGAACACCAATAGGGCAAATTGGTCGGCCTTTGCCTTTCTTTCCAAAAATCTCAATCCAAAAGCTTCACATCTCTGTTTTAACTATTTCCTCACTACGCCTTTTTCTTTCGCATGGCTACAAGCTTCTGTCCCGCCTAAGGCCAACTCAAAAGTTTCAATCAAGTGCCATATTACAGACCAAAGAGGACGTATCAAGCACAAGACACTGATTCTTCCTGTCTCAGTAAAAATACCTGCTTCGGTCTTCATCTCGATCCCTGTCTCTATGCCGTCCATAATCTCTATCTTGGTCATAATCATAATCACGACTGCGATCCTTTCTCCTATCCCTCTCTCTGCTTCGACTACGACGTCTTTCCCTATCTTCACGATCTCTGTTTTTGCGACTATCTCCCTCATCCCGTTCCCTTCCCCTGTCTCTGCTTCTTTCTCTTCCATCCCTATCAATCGTGCCTGCCAGGTAACAGCATTGATTAAAACATTAAGATACTCCAAACACCAATATACTGCAGCAGAAAAGGAAATACCTAGTTTTATTTATTTATACATTTATTTAACTTAAAAAAAAGAACACTGTTTTCTACTTTGAATTTTTCATCAGGTTGAAATTGTTAGATCTTCAGGCAATTTCATCTTTAAGCATCTAAGTAACATGGGTGATGAGGAAAGGGGAAAAGAAAAATAGCATCCACATGTCCAATAACTATGTGCTGAAATAGGGAAGAGGGCATTGTCGGACCCAATAAGGGAGGGAGCCAGAGCGCTACTTGTGCCTTTTTATAGTAATGAAGCAATTGTATAATCCTTAACAATTGGAAAAAGAAAACTAAATAGAAATGAATATATATACATATGCATGCACAAGCGCATTGAATAATTCACTAGAACACAATATCCCTAGATCATTGACTAGGGTTCATGTAGCCAACATGAAATGTTTGTAATTTAAGGTTTGGTTAAATAAAGCTAAGAGCAAGGTTGCTTCCAAGGTGCAAAAGAAATTGTCAGAGATTCTTAATCTAGATATTCTTGATAAAGTCACTGGTCTGAAAAGCATGCATAAAGCTCTAAGATTGTACGATTATTTTAAAATAATAATACACTACACCATAACTATATATATATATATATATATATATATCTTTTTATATTAATGCCAACATGTTATCAACTCCTACAGTATTCTGCAGTTTAAACTTTAAAGTTGATCATAGATTGATTTTAGGAGCATTTCTTCTCATAAATTAGCTAAAACTTGCATATCATTCTCCTTCAATGCTTATATTACAAACTCATATTCTATCTACACTTGAGAGGTTATAGTGCTGTTTAATCTAAACCTTTACAAACTCAGACATATGTTTTACCAATTGGTTTGTGTGCATTCAAGTATAAATTTGGTTAAAACTAATGTACAATATAGACAAGGCCATCCAGAAAGCTCAAATAAAAGGTCAAAACAAAATTACAATCAAACTAACACAAAACTAGGTTTGATTTGGTTTGGTACAAAAAAAAAGAAAAAAGAAGGAAATCAAAATTCCCTCTTTGGCTTCACTGTTACAAACAAACATGGATAAGCACAGCCCTACAGTGTCTGATACATATAAAACAACAGGTAAGTTTTATAAAAGAACCTCTTAAGTTGAAATTTTCTCCCCTTCAAAAGTTAGATGTGTCAAGTATTCCATGCCTATATGGAAGTTTTGATTGAGTATCTATCTGATATAAAGATGATATGAAATGTGGTCACCTCTATATTTTTAGTATAGCATAATCACTAGTCAAACTAATCTGGGCTGCCTAGCATGCCTAAGTAGAATGGCAATAAATCTTTCACTTTGTCTCTTTGTCATAAATTATAATAGCCTTTAAATGTATGACGATCAGTATCTTAAAATACCGCATCCTAATATGAACCAGTTATCAAATCCCAATACCTAGTTCCTCAACTTCCCAGCCAGTACGACCTGAACCTGGTAGTCCTCTTCCAGCTTCAGCTTGTTGTGTTTTGGCTCGGAACTTTTTCTTGAGATTGCCAAACTCATCATACATCTCACCATCATCCTGAAATTGGTACATATTGCCATCACATTAAGATAAGTAATGAATTAAGCTTCAAGTAATGATAGTGGAGATTTTTTTTACTTCTTCTGCCTCACGTCGACGTCGTCTTGTTTCTTCTATCTCTTCTTCATCAAGTTCCTTGTAACCACCACCACGTCCTCCTCTGCTCATAGCAATAAAAATCAAAGAACTAAAAGGAGCAAAAGCTAGGTAAAACTGCAGTAAATTGGTATAATGACATAATCAACTTACAAGCATTTCACTCCAATTACAAAAAACACATTAAATTAGTCAAATCGATGAGGTGGAGGGAGTGAAATGAAAAGAAAAGAAAAGAAAAGGAAAGAAAAGAATGTAGATGAGGAAATGAATCTAATGCTTGATAAAATCAACTAACTATAGCATGGAATGCTGTGACAGCAAAGAAAAAGAATACATATGCAGTAACACTGCTTACTTCAAAACACTAGTAAAGAATTAGGTAAATACTG